ACTGTCAATTTCATCCTTCTGCAAGGAACTTCAATTTCTGTTTCCCTTCTGAGCATATCACAAACAAACGCCACTTGTATAACCGACATTCGGCACGCGCTGGCTATATTACGCCAAACGACCTGTTACACCTAACCACTGCACGTCTAACTACAGGCGTTGTTGAAGGTATCTAGTGATGATGCCTCAACTGTACATGAAACAATGTGCGACATTGTGCATACTCCGTAGTGCACATTTCGATGTAAGTCTGTGTCATTATCCCCGTCGGTCCCCAGGAGACACGCTAACGGCGCTTCACCTGACAAGGCAGCGCTCAGACGTCTTCTCGCAGTACCCCGCCGGCTGCATTATTAACGCTGTAGGCTCCTCTTCATCATGTATGACAGCCTTTCATCTCACTCTACCAATAAATACATCGTAAAAAGGGTTTTACATGTTCATCACCGTATCGTTCAACTACGTCCCTAGTTAGTCTGGAAAAACAAACTTATTTATACTGACAGCGAGGCACATGGGGTGACTTGAGCTGTTTTACAGCTTTATTAGTAAAAAGACGCACAACAAAATTCAAATAAACTTTATTACACTTCGTAAAAAACGCAAGGTGTACCTTCCGAAAATAATTTCATCAGGTTGATAGATCATCATATTGTTTTTTTTAACGTTTCGATGCCTATTAGACACCTTCCTCACAGTTTCTGACCCGGGAGTGCTGCTTCTCACTGCTATATGTAGCCCATGTAGGTATTGGATCTAGAATTTACTTTTATTTGTTAAAGTGACTTCTACCATTATCAAATTAACTGCCAAATAATCTCAACAATGAAGGCATAATGTCATCATCTACAAACTGGATAATCATGATAATATCCATAGGCATAGCACCGTGGATCGTTTGGTTAACTTTTTTGGGGGAAACTAAGGGTTGACGATTGTTGGCAGCAGGAGTTTTCCCGTAAAGGACAAAGAAAAATTGCCGTAACAGAAGATCTAGCTGTCGTCTACGGTATCACGGTGCCATAGCCCTGAGCTGCAAAGTTTTTCTCACAATAATTTTTACTTTAGGCTGTTGCGATAGAATGTCGAAAAAATCTACTAGGATCATGAACCTATCTGTGTAGGGAAATCGTCAACTTGTCAGCTGCCGTTGCCATGTACTTACTGAAACCCACCTACTTACTGCAAACCCAAGCTGTGATTTATATATAAAATCTTAACCTTGTCAATGCTAAACGAAGATACACCAAATCTTCTCATTAGGTCTGAAGAAGGATCAGAGTTTTTCTCATCAGACCTTGGACACTGGTGAAATCCTGGAGCCACTTTCTGATCCGTCTGGACCTGCTCGACAGCCTGAAGGCAGCTTTTCGCGATGAGTTCCTAATGAAATAAAAAGGACCATCTTATCACCGAATGACAGGCAGGTTTCCCGCGGTGGAAAATACAATATTTCTCCTGCCCTGAAGTTACCGGAACATGATGGAAGTGAGCTCCCGAAGCCAGCTTCAGAGGCGAAAAATGTGCGGGCTTATCGGTCCGGCAGGCGGCCCGTCCCGGTGAGAGCGCCGCCTCTGGGCAGTCTTGAACTTGCCAGGAGTTCCACAGTCGGAACACATTGCGTTAGAAACAGTCATTAGGCGGTCGTGGACTCAGCAGGAGTTTTACAGAACTTTTCTACTTCTGCAAGAGAGTGCAGTACTACATGTACTGTGTTTTTCTTGTCTGTCCGTTTGCGTGTCTTCGAGTCCCAGTATACACGAATGCAGCGTTGTCATACATCCTCAGACCTGCTGTTTTGCATGGCCTGAAGGACGGGAATTTCTGAAAATGTTGCAACGCAGTATTTCGAACCGCATGCATTGTCTGTGATATAAACAGCCTGAAGGAAGCCTTAGCCTTAACTCTAGCAGAGTGTCACAACCTGAACCTTTTGAACCAGCCTGCAGGGAGCTCTCACCTGGACTGACAACTGAGTTGTCACAGTCAGCAGATTTACATGTCATACTCTGATTCAGATTTATTGTGATCAACTTGCGTATCACATACAGCATGACATGATAACATGAAATCTGTTAATTCTTCCATTGAATTCGTACTTACACAATAACGGGATCATATAGAGCAAATTACACAAAGATATCTAAAGGCAGTTAAAACAAGTCGGCACATATATCATTAAAAACAAACTCAAGCCACTTCTATCACATCATGTTAAAATAGATTAGCTCTTATTGAAAAGCTTCAGAGCTCTGGGGAGAAAGGACAGTTCGTGTGATTTACTCTGTGATGTCACGAGCCCTCTGTCTCTGTTACGTCGTCGGTTATAACGACCAGTCAGAGTGCGTTCAGAGGGTTGCGCTTGTCGGCCAGGATCCTCTGGAGGGCACTCTGACAACTGACAGTCATTTCCTAATCCTACAAACATACCTTCATACATAGAGTCCGTAGTCCAGTAGTTAGTGATCCTGCTTCCTTGACCCAGGGAGTTTGAATCTTCGCTGTTGTCGCTCACCGACATGTATGCTACTGAAAAGGGTCGCAGTCCACTGTTCATTGTTATTGTCGAAAAGAACTGTGGGAATTTCCATGTACCTGTGAGTACCGCACATGGTATCTCTAGCTCTCTTCTCTGTCAGTGGAGGAGTGGCTCCTAAGTCAGCTAAGATAACTTTCTTTCATGCCCCAACATCTGATCTGCAAGACACATTTGTAACCCGTAAATGTCCCATAGACAGCAAGCCCGATGGAAAGGAGTAATCCATCACAGAAATATCAGCAGAAATACTGATGTTTGCACTAAGGCACTGGATAAGGAGAACCCGGAGTGCAGCAGATTGATGTACGAACCGGATGCCAGGTCTAAAGGATGAAGTACTGTAGTCTTGTACGTGATGGAGAGACTGACCACGCCGTACAAACCCAGGCAGATCCATCCACCGATCACGCCGGCTTTGATGGCTGATGTACCGATAATCCACAGCCAGAAACTCACCCGACCATATTTTGGTAAAGAATGGACGAATCACCAGGACTTACATCCACCTTGAGCGTTTGGCTACTGTAAATGTAGTTGATTTTGCAGTAGTACATTTCGCGGAAGGATCGAAAAGGAAGTTGTAGCTTTGTTCTAAATTTCGCAGCTGAAACAATTCTGTGGTACAGTAGTCATACATGGCCATGGAAGGCATATCCAACTCCCTGTCATTCTTGAACAAGATGAATTGAGTACATATCGGTTAGTACCAAGTCTCAACGACATCTTTTTTTCAACGTCAATGAACGAGATCACAGCGCAGGGATGGAGTTCTAAACTTAGCTTTGGGAAGACACTTCAAACTTCCCGTTGGTGGCAAAAGGCGACTTGGGTTTGGAGGAAGGTTTGAAAATATTGTATTTTACACAATGGGGATGCGTACACCGGGGATGCGTACTCGCTACCTCATATATAGGGCATTGTAATTGTTTAAAACAGCTCCACCTAGCTTCACCTGTGCCTTGTCGTGGAAGAAATTTTGGTAGCATGCGTTATTTTTGCAGAATGATGGCAGTACGTTTCCCTGAGCCTATTCCACATTACTATGCAGGACAGAGTTCCTCGCTCCACCAGAACAGACAGGTGCCCTGAAGGCAGCAGTTCTCCATTTGTCAAACCTGCCAAGGCTGAGGCAGTGATGTAGCTTTCCTCCGGAGAAAAATGAAGAAATAATCATTTTATGACAACTCCCATTACTTATCATTCTGTACCAGGCTCTGATGCTGATTAGTTCATTGAACTCCTTGTAACCATGTACCTCATATAGAACATTTCTCCACCAGGCCTTCCCAAGGGGTTACAGATAGTACGACTTGGCAAAAATAGGGTCGGTATAAATTGGCCAGTGAGTGCGCCACGATTAGGGTAACATATCCGCTTGACTGAGAAAATAAAATAAACTCTACGTTGCCAAAGCACATTTTACTGTTATATGCAGTTTGGTACTGTCCTATTTCAGAACAGATTACCACAGAATGCAGGTGCCTCGCCTGTTTCTGTAAGGTGCCGACAGAATGCAGGTGCCTCACCTATTTTTGTACAGGTGACTACAGAAGCAGGTGCCTCACCAATTTTTGTACTGGTGACTACAGAATGCAGGTGCCTCGCCTGTTTCTGTAAGGTGCTGACAGAATGCAGGTGCCTCACCTATTTTTGTACAGGTGACTACAGAATGCAGGTGCCTCACCTATTTTTGTACTGGTGACTACAGAATGCAGGTGCCTCACCTATTTTTGTACTGGTGACTACAGAATGCAGGTGCCCCACCAGTTTTTGAACAAGTACCTACAGAAGCCAGGAACATTGCAGTAATTCTTAGAAATTAGGCATTTTCATGATGTTCTTACTTGTTTAATTCATCTCTAATATCGAGTTCTTCCCCCAGGTGTGTTTCATGTGAAACTGGCAGTGCCTGTTCCTTTGTCACATCAGCACATGCTGCTGACATGAAGTCTGATATCTTAATTAATCTGGTGTGTTAATTACCACCTTAATGACTCTGCTCTCTCAGGGGTGTGCTGTGACAGCTCCCTGTGGGAAACCTGGGGACTATCTCGTAACTCACAGGTTTCTACAGCTGAAATCAATTCTGTGCTTTAGAAAATGAAAATGGAAAAGTTCCTCTGACATTGCAAAAGCCAGTGCATATGCATTGTCATTTCTAACATCATGGCCAGCCTCGTCCAGCATCCCCTATCATCTAATTTAACCTGACTTCTCGTTAATCCCATTTGGCTCGTTAAGGTCCCTCCAAAATACCGGTGTCATTACCGGTAACGAGATGAATCACGAGGAACTACCGCTAACTTCATCAGTTTCGGCCGTTAGTAAATCTAATGAAATCCAGATCGGAAATTTGTGTTCCTTTCTGGGTGACGCAATGTCTCTAACAAGATTTCAGAACTAATACAGACTTTGATGAACATGTTTTTATATTATATTTGATTTAAATCATACCTATTCACTTGCAGATCTACTAACTTTACCCCAATTACTGATTCTGTGGAAAAAAAACACAAGAGCTAGTCTGAATCATGAATTAGTTTTCAGAAGAGGATTTGCAAATTTGGACACTTTATAATAAAATCAGAAATATCCCAAATTAGGACAGATTAACTTCTGCCTATACATCATGAAGATACACAAATTCAATTACTTGTTTTAAATACGTTCCTCCACTTGTACAAGAAGCATGTAGGATGTGTCAGCCATGACCAATCATGATTTCTCTCAATGGATTCAAATAGCAAATTTAAGTGCATATTGACATGTATCAATCCATGCATTGTACATACATTGTATAGGACACTATTACCCAAAATGCCTAAATGCTAGAAACTCCAGCAATAATTGTAAAAGCATAATCTCCTCCTATACTACATTAGTCTTTTGAAAAGTAGAGCGAGTTAATTTATTTCCCTGTCCCAGGGACAGGAAAGGAGACGCAGTATAGCGGTATAACATCCTGTACAATCTCACCATTATTCCCACGTCAGCAGAGATGACATCATCGCGCAGGTCTTCCTACGTCTAGACGACTCCCGCGGGATGGCTGACGTGAGCGATCTGTCTGCCATGACGCTTCAGCTGGCCTGGCTACTGAAGGTCTGTTTATTTTCATCTCAAACTTGCTGTAAAGTTACAACGTACCTTCTTCAATTTCTTCTTTTCATCACCAAATCTTCATTTGAGAAAAATAGGAAAGAAAAAGCATCCAGCTTCTGATTCTGATGTAAATTGCAGAATCAAAAACACTAAAATTTTACTTCAATAAAGATTAACTTCCAAATACATGTATCATGTTTAGGGATGCATGCATAACTTTTCGGTTGATATATTGTACATGCAAGATAGATCAAACTTGTAGTGTTGTTGCCTAATGGCTGTCATACATTGTACCTTGATTGTTGAGCAATAAAGTTCAGTCACAGTCTGTATTTTCTTCAGGAAACATATTGGAATAGATGTCATAAAAGAATGCATGGGCTATAGAATACCTGATCCCTTCCTGTCAGCTCATTATGAGTCTGACATCATTATGGCTAACGAGGCACTGGATGGGTCTGTCTTGTCTCCACCTCTCCTTTGGGAACTGAAAAATAGTAGAAACTGGAAAAATTGAGTGAGCGATGTTTCCTGAGGAGCTTTTAGCTGGCCAGAGAGGGATCACTCTTGCCGACAATGGCTAGCAAATTCAATTTGGCAGAATGTATTGTGCCTAGCATTTCCATAGACTACCCTGTTTAAGATTGTATTCATGTATTTAAGAATGGCATCCCATCAATATTTTCCAATGTCAGAAAAGATATCATCTGCAACAGGCAAAATGACCAAACATCCAACGAAAACCATGAAAAATCCAGGAGTGCATAGATGCAGTACGTTCTGCCGATGTGCTCCAATGGCTAGGCAACTACACCGACAAATTATCAACTCTATACTCTATACTCTAACCAGCCAATTTGTACAATTTTTTAGGTCCTAAAGGAGCTTCAAGGAGACCCAGGGGTTTCTCTTCGTCAGGTGAGATGATGGTCGTGTTTCTCCCTCAGGTGACATAATGGCTGAGTTTCTTTATACTTCAGGTGAGACATGATGACAGACCATCCATCAAACTGCTCCACCATGGATCAGACTGGATCTATCAGTCTGGCTGATCAGGACAATTTTAGACAGGGATTTTGAAACAGGGGATTAGGAACAACGTCTGGCTCCGTGGGATACTGCATGAATCATTCTCATATCATAATTCACTTAGATACAACATGGAGTTAAAAACCTCCTTGGATACAATATCAGCAACTTGGAAGGGATTCTCTCTCTCTCTCCTGTCTTTTCCCACACATTAACAGATTAAGACAAAAAGATAGATATACTTCAATATTGACACATAGATCTTGTATCAGAGCTATATAGGATATATTACCTTACATCCATCATTCTTCAGATAGAATAAAATTCAGTGGAAACTTTCCCAGCAAGAGGAGAACACATGTTCACCTGTGACAGATTGGCCTGGCTCCAACCCAGCTCTGTGATCTCCACATACAAACTACTGGCCGGGAGGGACGGTCAACAGTTACCACTAACTCTTCCAAAAATATACCCTATCATGAAAGGAAATCATCCTCTTCATCTTGGAGAGACGTTATCTTTAAGACCCTGCAGGCAGTGTGCACGTTACTACTTCTTAAGGTCTCATCTGAAGGTAAGGAAAGGCATTCAGTGCTGTCTTCTAGATGACATTTCCTCTGATCTAACTACAGGTGGGATTTTCTTAAAGCCTTTCTTAGGCTGCAGAAAAGCAACATCTCAGGGAGAAGCACTTAGCGTAGCTGTTAGACTGACATTCCTCCTTGTTATTTCCTTAAGATCTTATTTTAAGGCTGGAGAAAAGTATGATGTCATCAGGGAGATGCACTTAAGTCCTGTTTTTAACATGACATTCCAGCCTATTTGACTAAAGGTTCTGCACAACTCTTGAAGCCTGTTGTGTCCAGAACTGTGCCTCGTCCAGAACCATGCTCATGATTAATCCATGGGTATCCCAAAAGTCTGAAATCTTCAATTTCTTGTTCTGTAAGATTCTATCAAGCATTTTGATTCCACATAATTTTCAAGCAGACTGCTTTTATCACAGGTAAAGAATAATTGATGCATTTATTAGTACCGGTAACGATTTATTCAGAAAACAACACAGTCTCCACAGTCGCAGCAGCATGCTGTGACATAATTACAGAATGTGACTGTTAATAATCTAAATAGCATAATAGATCAATATTTAGACAAGCAAACAAAACAAAATGGGCTTTAATGCATTCAGAACTCCTATCATTCACACTCCCATTGCATTGTCAACAGCGTGATACAGTAAACTATGATATTATCTACTTGACTGCAATATTATAAAGAATGTCAAGTCGGCAAGAATAAAAAAAATCATCAAGTATATGTTGTTGACATGTAGGAGGATGATAGAAGATAGCAGCTGAGGCTCACATCTTCCAGACAGACACTTCCATCTCATCTGTCTGAGATCATTACAGGAGTCTCAATAGCCTTGGAGTAACCATGATTCCTCAGAAGGACTTAATGTACAAAGACAGCTAGATGTCAGATTTGCCATTAGTTAACATTTCGTCTAGACATTTAACCATTGGAGAGTTCTGGTTGCATTGAATGCCATTTTGTCTTTTTGTGATCATTCCCATCCTATGCTAATACAGAAGCTGTAATTGAAAGAAAGTTAGAATTTTGAAGTTGTACCTTTCAATTCCATATTCTGTGCCAGATTCAAAATTGGCAACAGCCATTTACATTACATGCATCACAAGTCATAATACAGTTGATGTGCAGGTAGATATATCATTGCTTTGCATTTAGCATTGTATGGTGGATAACATCTTTTGATTCTACATGTAAGTTACATCATTAAAATACATGAGCAAACAATAGTAAAACTACTAATAACAAAGATAAATCATAGAGAACAAGGAAATATGGATTAGAATTCTGAAGTACTCAGAAGCATTGACAGGTAAAGTGTATCCTGGACTGTTTCTGAGCATCACATATCATGGTCTGCTCAACCTATCTTTTTCATCTTTTACACAGGAAGGCTCCAGGGTATGTCTTTGTAACTGACTCTGTGGAGGACAGAATGCACTTTCACTGGAAGGAACCACATCTATAACCGTCTCCTCCTCTCTCAAGCCTTACAGGGAGGATCAGTCCTGACTTAACTTCAAATCAGCTCATCTTTACGTGTCCTTCGTCTCAAGTGTCTTTTAACCAACGGCAATAGTTTTTATCTGGTTTCTTAAAAGACTACTGTCCTCCTTTCCTGTCTCTGTCATTGCCTTTAATCTAGCTCTGAGGAAGGATTCATAGGTAAGATCTTCTCCCTGAAACCCCCTCTATCCATCACTCCTGGTATCTTGTCATCCATCTAGAGCTTCTTCCCATCCCTTCATCCATCAGTCTCCTGTGGGACAAGCGTCCCTTTGTCCTCACCAAAATTGTGAACTTTTCATTTTTTTTTGTGGTCCTTGATAGGTTGTAAAGGTAGATTTTAGGCTCCTACGCCACGATGCTAAAATCAATAATCTTACAATAGCAGTCCCTTATTAAGTAAGATTTTTGGATGATTTTGGGCCATGATGTGAAGTTGTCTCTGCTGACTTACATGATTTTTTTGATGCAGGTTCATATTTGAATCATGTAGTCCCAGACAGTAAATGTCGACATGTTGATAAAATATTTTACACCCTGAGATCAATCCCCTAATCCTACAATGTAGGACACCTGATTAACCTTCTACCTGCTGCCTAACTCTGCAACCAACAGGAACTTTGTTGCAGAAATTACAGAAAATCTCCATGTAGATTTAGTCCAGTGAAATGGACCTTACTTAAAGACTGGAATGAAGTGACCAGTTTCCTTTTGCCAGGCAACTATGCTTGCACTGTGTCTCCGTCCCCCATTTAGCACCCCAGACAGTCCAGCTAACCCTTCTGTTTTCGCTAGATTGGCCAGTAAAAGAACTGTTACTTATTTATTTACATAAGCAGGTCTACCGTTTCTTGTGTTTGTGCGAACCATTACATTCAACACGCCGTACATTGTTCTCACCGTCGCGGCTTCACGCACCATTTTTGTACCCACAGGAATCCAGCCGGCGTGACTTGTACGGCTCCAATCTCCACTTAGTCCCAGGAGCAGACGCCACGCTGCCACCGTGTCCATCGTCCACCCATAACGCCCCCTGCATTATTCTGGGAAAATCTGTCAGAATGATTTTAACCCTCCACATGTCATAGTCTGATTGTACAAAAGTTGTTCTGACTGGTTGACACTTTTTCTGAAAATTTAAAACAGTTTAGTTGTTTCTTGAAATTGGCACACTGATTTTTTGTGTGTTTATAATATTGACCTTTTTAGTAAAGTCCGTTTGTCAGGTTGTCCGAGTGACAGGTTGTCTCAAAGACAGGTTGTCCCTTAGTTACATGTTCGGGTCTGTTGGATGTATAAACACTGCCAACATCTTCATGTCCCCCTTTCACCTAACTGCTTCCCCTCATGCAGTACGTAAACACTTCACAGCCAACACAACTGGCCCACCTTGTGCTAAGTAAAGCCTTTGGGCAGAGTGGCAGACGGAAGAGTTCACACCAAAGGAATCAAAAGGGAGGGGCAGCGTGCCGCTGTGTACATGGATCACAATGGCTTTAAGGTGGGCACCGAGGTGTGGTGACAAAATAAACAGGAGTTTAAAAGGCCTGGGCTGGTTCAGCACCAGTGATGCCAGTGTTGCTCTGAATACTGCAAAGTTTAACACTATACCTGTGTACATTCAGTCTAATATCTTAAGAGTTGTACATGTATTGTTTGCACTAAGTTCAGCCCAAGACACACCATGACTTCCCCTGCCTACTGCCTAATAAGTTTGAAGTTTGTAATCATAAGGCCACAGTTTTATGGATGGCATCCTCCCCAGATTCCAAATCTAATGCGATAGGGGAAAAAAACAAGGTGGGCCAAAAAAACAAGTCCTACATTTTCAAATTTAGGACCATAAACCTTGTTACCTTGTTATAGAAAAATTGAGGCAACTAAACCTGATATCACAACCAAAAGGTCCTATATTCAACAGCATTAACGTTACCTATCCTTGTTGCTGTCTTCACATCTCAATTAGCTAGAAGACAGTTTGTCAATATATGGACAGCTACTATACCAAGTACTAGAGCTGTGTACCGGTACGCAGTACCGATACTGTACCGGAAAAATTGATTAGGTACAGGTCCAAAATACCTAATCCCTCAGTACCGGTACTGTACCTAAACAATTTCACACTAATTTTATACCTATTTGTGACCTCAAATGTGTAAATAGCTGGTCCACAATGGGTCCCTGTGTAAGGACAGTGTGTTCATGAAAACAAAAACAACTTAGTTTTGCCTATATTTTATCTGAGCATTCGCCATAAACAAAGAATAAACCTTAACTATCAAGTTTATTTATGTTTTTTGTTATTGAAGGAGTTCAGAAGAGCATATAAATTGGTCGAATTGTTCAGGTACAGGTTCAGGTCCGGACCTGTACCTAAACCTGTGTACCTGTACCTGTACCTGTACCTAAAATTTGTTTAGGTACACAGCTCTACCAAGTACTCATATGGGATGGAAAGCCTTATATTGTCAACACTTGCCATCATATGTGAGAAATTGTACCTCAAGTTTGCTGGATCCCTTATTGTCTCTGAGCCGAGAGACCTTTATGACATATTTGCTTATTTTTGGCATGTTGACCACCATTTTTTCCAAAATCAGGCAAAAATCAATGCGTGCAATTATGTCATCCATAAAAATTACTTGCTGTGGCCTAATAACTAAAACTGCAAGTGGCTGTGTGACAGTATAAATACCACAGCAAACAGTTTGGCGTACTTTCACTCTGATTATACATTGTAACCACACACAGACGTGCACTTAGTAGTCTGTGGTGGGCACCTTTTTGTGTTCCATAATATACCTTCAGGGTTTTGTATGCTGTCTAAATTAAAACAGAAAAAAAGAGAAGTAAAATTAAAGTAATTCTGTCTCATTCTTTTCCAAAATACTTCCAAAAGCTGCAAAATGGCAATAGACTTCTCTGGGTTCATAATCCCAAACCTACTTTTGGTGTAAAAGAAAAATTGCTGGAATAACTCCTTATTTGTGTTTTCTAATGATTACATCATATCCTGATATTAAAGCAACTTGAAGATGTTGTCAGTATGAGGGTGGTCATGGTATTAATTGCCGTCGCACTGGAGTAGCATCCCTGACCAACCTGTTGCCATATTACAACCGGGGATGTTGCCACAACAACCTGGGATGTTGCTATAGCAACCTGACTGTGCAGGCCCCCAGGCAACACTCCAAATACTTTCCCACCCTCTAATATTCTAAAGAGTCCTTTCTATCATCTTACAAACAGAACATTCCTCACTGCCTGGACGTCCCAAACTTCATCTCTGCCTGATGTCCCAACTCTCATGGAGAAACACGCAGCAATTATGGACCCACTTTCCACCGATATTGCTGCAATCACAGTGCCAAGTGGCAACACCATACTACAGATGTAACAATCACAGTGCCAAGTGGCTGTTGAACACCACACTACAGATGCAACAATCACAGTGCCATGCGGCGATCACACATCAGCATCGCTGCAGCTGATGTACTGTCTGGCTGGGACGCTTTCTGAATAATATCAGTGCCATTACTGGCACTGATGAGGTTTCAGTTCTTCTTCAGACGGACATTATATCTTGTCTGGCAACATGAACAACAGTCTGGGCAGATGCAGCCAGGTTGTCCTATGTTTTGCAGCCCAGGGGAAATTTGCACTCAGTCTAGACAGGGTGACGAGGTTTGGATGTATAAATCCATTATAGGAACCTGAAGACAAACCCATATTTTACACATAGTTGTGCAGTTAAGAGGATCTGAATGGCAGATCTCCCTTTCTGTGTCAGATAAAAACTGTCTTGTCACTCATTAAGAATAGATACAGTGTTCATTTATATTCAGGTTACTTGTCTTCAGACAGGATGAAAAGGACTATGATGATGACTTGTCTTCAGACTCATTCTCAGTCACTGAAGAAGACAGCAGTTGAGACCTGATAGAGCTTACTCTTCAGAGAATTTATCAAGTTTTATTTTGTATTACATAAGTTTCTACCTGAATGTCTAACTTTAATTGACTAAATTTGTTTTTGGCATGTTGTTACCTCCAGGGGAGGAGACATCCTTCCGCGGAAGGGTTTTGTGAGAGATGTAGATTTTCATGTTCGCAGCTGTTTCTCGCGTTTGGGTGGACAGATTTTTTTTGGACTTTGTGTATATTTTGCTATTGGGCTGTAGATGATGCACGTTCTTTTGTGTTTAATGTATATGTGTTTTTGGGCGTGAAAATAGTTCCTTTTGGTGGCCCCAGAACACCCCTTTGAGCGTGAAAATGGTCGCGACCGTTGACCTTTGGCGTGTTTAAGATATTCTTGGTCTGGTCCACGTATATGTAGCCTGGGTTCCAGACCCATAGCACACTGGACACAAATATCTCAGTGAGCCTGGCACACTGAGATATTTGTGTCCAGTGCGCTATGGGTCTGGAACCCAGGCTAACGTATATGACCCCTCGCACAGAGGGGTGTCCGGTCTCGATAAATTCTTTGTTTAAAACCCTTGTCCTGCGGCCTGTAACAATTGTTGTTGTGCACAAAATTCAACACCATCAACCATACATAACATTAAACAACATATCAAAATATACAATGAAAAGCCCGGAGGTATAAAATCTCAGATTTTACTTGTTTATCCTTTTGTCATTGTTCCTTCTTACTGCCCATTTGAAAAGATCACTTTCCTAAAAACAAGTAGTCTGAAATGGCTTTTTGTTTCTTTTTCTTTATGCCTCCAAAAATTGTTTCACATTATTTCTGAAATAACTCACTCTCTCTTTCCCTCATTCACTTGGAACCTGTCCATACCTCAGTGCCTCTTCCATGCCATCAATAAATGTTTGACTGTGCTTTCAATAGGTTGATAGTTTCAAAGAGATTATCCAGAAACCTTCCAGAGGGGCAGAGAAAACTCGAGATCTGCAGCAGGATGGGGCCAGTCGCTCCCTGTTTGTGAAGGTTATCTGGGCTCAGATTCCTCAGGACGTTTGGAAAAACGAGCTAATTGTCCTCAGTGGGGCCATCTCTACACAGGCCAATTTAGGGAGAAAACCTGCGGCAATCTGGCGGCGGGTGATCAGCTGACTCCATGGGGAACTGTAACTGATTCTCCCAGCAGGAGTCAGCAGAACCTGAGCAACATACAGATGAGGGAGGCAGACAAGGCAGGAAACATGCTTGACAGTCTTTTCATGACAACAGTTTCACCTGTCTCATCTGCATAGAAGAAACAAGGAGCCCTATAACCTTAGGATATTCTGTGTCTCATATTGATCATTCAACTTCTTACTTAATCTCAATTCAACAGGTGTCACACTATAGCATATTGACATCAATATGAAACAGTTCTTTTTAAGACTCTTTACAGCTTATCTATTCCTACTGTGCACTCTAATATGTGTCAAGAATCATGCCCCTTTGACGCATAATGTACGATAAATACTCACCCACATAAAAAAAACTGTAATGGTAGGAACTGATACATCTAGGTTAAAAAGCCTACATTTCTGTGTCTGTATCTGTAACACCAGCCTGTCCTCACACAGACAACATTCTCCATCTCTGCACATCTCTAGGTAGGCTCACTGAGATATTTTGTGTCCAGTGTGCTATGGGTTTGGCACCCAGGCTACACATCTCTAACTGTGCACTTGTGACTGATGTTCAACTCTGACTATAAAGAAGGCCTTCTTTCTTTCTGACCTCTGACCCAGCCCTTGACCCTATGTGACCCTGCATGACCCTGAGTGACCCCTGAGACCAGCACACACAGTAGCACTCCTGTCCTGTCCCCTCCATGGCTGATTAACCCTGCTGGTTAATTAGTGTGATTAGGATCAGAACACACCAGGAGGCCATTACCCATAAACCACAGCAAGGCTCAGGGGAAGGTTCAAGCAGAGAAATCTCAACAGCTGCAACATGTCAGGAACAAAATAACAACACGGACTGAAACTTTTCCCTCATGTCTTCCTTTTCACTTACAAGGGGGATAAGGACTGGAAAGGATGGAGGAAGCTGGTGCTGGGAGCAACCATAGTGACCAACTCTAAGTTGAGGATGGGGCAAGGTGAAGGTAAAACCCATTATTACATTCCATTCAACAATATACAATCAGAGACCATGGCTGTTCATGAGGACCAACTGGCCACTGTGATGAGTCCCTTTACCCCATTGACCCAAGTATAAATGATCCTGCCTAAAGTGACCTCCTGTCTACTATGACCATTTTCTTAAAGTCCCATGAATGGTCACTATAGATGACTGCACTCTCTAACTATTGTATACCATACAAATGTAAAATTGTTGTAGGCAATTATAGATAACAACTCTTCATAGGGTCCGGGCAAAACATATTCAATTGACATTCTGATAGTCCCTGGAAACTGTAAAACAAATTACTTATTTCTGGAAAACCCATCCCTCTGTTGTTTATTTACCAAGCTGTCTCCAATGACTGAGAGATTCTGACACTTCAAACAGGGTTCAAAAGGCAAACTAGAGTTCTGGAAAATCACTAGTGGAGGAACAGCTGGTCCCTTCATCTGTGTAGCAAAGCAAATGCTACTCCTTTCACTTTCTAAGAAACATCATTTGGAACAGAGAAAAACATTTGGTCATTCTGACCTCTGAAGTAACCAGTTCAAATTTGGTTATTGGACAGCCATTGAGAGACTTGTCACTTTGGCCCAGGGTGGTTTCAATTAACTATCTAAAGAGTAAAGTACAGTCCCTGATATATTTGATGATGTCTCTGAGTTGAACTCAAATTGCCAACTGCTGAGATACCAGCCATCCATCGGAGCCATGCTGTGGTCATCAGGTTGATACAGTACTGCTACATGAGTGGCTATTTCATCACCATTTACCAGCTACAATAGCAGCAATTTAACTGCCACAATAGTGGCTATTTTACTGCTAAAATAGTGGCTATTTTACTGCCACAAGCACTACAAAATGTGAAGGGCTATTTTACTGTTACAATAGGATAATCCTGCTACAATAGTGACTGTTTTACTGCCACAAGAGTGGCTATTTTACTGTTACAATAGGGTGATTCTTCAAGAATCAATACAGCCCATCCTGTGAGAGGAGTGCTTGTCTTCCAAGCCAAACTGGAGTCACTTAGTTCAGACCATAATGTCTAGATCTATGACTATCACAGTACCAAATAATTAGCCCCAACAATCGGCCTTAGTTTATCCCTCAGATCAAAATGACAGCAACATTGCACTTGAGGCTAGACCAATTTATTTTGCTTGTCAGGTTTGAAAACTAATGCTAAAAGTGGAAGATAAACATGAAAATTGTCTGAGGGGAGAGTCTGACCACCTGTGCGCTGCAAGGTGTACTTCAATGTCAGTTTAACTAAATGTGAGTTACCATGTTTTTATAATGCTCCCCGGTCTATGCCATTTATACTGAACCCACATCTTGTGTTCCTTCATGTGGTTTGTTTATTGATGTTGCAGCTCAGATACTCCAGCCTGACTGGCAATACATGCTGCTTTATTTGTTCACCCTGGAGTCAGGCCTGATGAGGAACTAATAGTCCCACGTCTGAGGATGCAGCAGAAGGTAAACTTCTTCTCAGGCTCAACAGCACATTGGAAAATAAACTTCTTATAAGAACAAAGCCAGAATGTCAAAACCAGGTCCATCAACATTTAGCTCATCTGTGTTAGTGTATACTGTAAATGTTAAAATGTTCGTGATACCTTAAAATACCCCCCAAACACCCAAATTTTGTGCAGTAATGATGTGTAACCCACTAAAGGAAGTTAATTGGCTATACGAAAACAAACAAGAACCACCAACTACATTACATACATGTATGATTCAACAAACCAAATGTAACTTACCAGATTTTTAGCAGATTTGTTGTTTTGGGGGGCCAACAGAGCCTACAGTACCTCTTCTCTCTCAGTCTGTGGAGGGAACAGACTTTTCAGGACCTTTGATCCCTGCCTGGATCACATGTCCATCAGGTCAGAGGTCAGCCTGTGGAGGGTACAGACTTCTGGCACTTTTTCTAAGAAAGAAAATTATGACAATTTCTACTTGTAGTTCAACCAACACATTAAAATTTATGAAAAGTTTATTCATTTTTTGTTTTATTGCTTCCCAGCTGGCGAGGATTTCACCACATTTGGTGGCAGCTGCTTCTGTTCTTGCCGCCTGAACAGGTAATTAATTTTAATGAGGTAATTAACGAGTCGGTAATGAACATTCACACTTCCACAAACATAACCGCACCAGATGGTAGGCTTCTGAAGCATGAGCAGGTTTGATTAATCAATTCATTTATTGATTGATTTTATCTCACACATTATGTAAAGAAGCAATTACAGATGAATAAGCAGTTTTTCACTGATTGAATGCTTCATTAATCTGATTTACCAACTTTGCAAAAACAACAAAAGAACATTGACTGTTGCAAGCCTTATTATATTACATGTACATTTACTTTGTAGAACTCATTGATATAGTACTTGGTATTTTTTTCAAGTAAAAAAAGTTGAGGTTACTTGTGGTCACATCGTTCTTTATTCAAAACAAGAATGAAGATGAAGCTCCGGCCAAGTTGGTCACATCAGGCTGAATGTGCAGGGGAACATCTACAAACACTTTCCACACAAACAACACTGTCCCTGTCCCTGGTGCTGAACGCTTTCCACACAAACAACACTGTCCCTGTCCCTGGTGCTGAACACACATCAATTTCTCTGTCCTCTGTGCTGAACACTTTCCACACAAACAACACTGTCCCTGTCCCTGGTGATGAACATTAACCACACAAACAACACTGTCCCTGTCCTTGGTGTTGAATATTGGCTACACTAACAACACTTTCTCTGTCCTTGGTGCTGAACACTTTCCACAATAAGGACACTGTCCCTGTCCTTGGTTCTGAGAACTGTACATTCCTTACAGAGGTTCCCTCCCAGGTACTGCAGACTGCAGAATCCTCCAGGGCAAGAGAGATTTGTTTATTAAGTGGTAGATTTTTGTTGTCTGCCTGGCAAAGTTCTTGTGGGGAGGAAATACTGTAAGTAAGGCTCAGACAATGTTCTGTTGACAGATGTCTCACCTGGTTGCCAATGTGTCCATTCATCATACCTGCCCACCACACCTGGTGTGTTCCCCACAGGACGTACCTGCTGGAGACAGTCAGTCTGTCTGCCAGAGTCTTGGGGGGGGTGTGTGTATTAGGCCGGGCCAATGTTATCTGTTGGTTTGGGGATTTTGAATGTAATGACAAACAGGTAGATTAATTATCATATATTATCCTATAGCCAGGAGATGTTAACCAATCCGAAAGTCCATAATCTGACCAGTGGTGATCAAATAAAAAAACACAGCAACCAGTAGGGTCAACCAATTCACAGTTTACTTCCATGAAATACCAAGGACCAAATTTATGAATTCCTGTGGCCTTCAGTGCAGCAGACACTGTCTGATAGACATTTGTTTCCTGCTGTTCCGTTCTGTCACAGCTGTCCTGTTTGCTGTTCAATAATTCAGACTGGATAACTATGCATCCCTGAGGGTCAGTTGAGTCCAACGGCTCATGCATCATCTTTAGTCTGTTCTGTAACCATTTGGTTGTGGTATATTTGGAGATAAAATAAAACAACATTGTTGTGGATAATGCTCAGGTATGTTTTCCTTTTAGAAAGGTCTGCACTAAGAATCAGCATCTTTGTCCTTAAGATACTTTGTAATACACGTTACAGTCTAAGGCTAGAGAAAAAAAATTGTGTATGGACAACATACAACAATCAGTCATTATGTTTGAAATAGATGATGATTGACAAAACTAAATTAAAAAAACAAGAAGAAGATGCATTGTACAAACAACTTATGATATCTAGTGTTAATTACCCCTCCAAGCACCAGCCACAATGGATTTACAAGCAGCCCATGGACATTTGGAGGGTTAAACTCCTCCCCTCTGCTTTAACCCTAATGGTTTTACTCTGACTTCTGCATGGACTAAAAGCTCCTGGCTAACAAATGTTTCCCTTGTTAATAACTCTTCATTAACTAATAATTAATTAACACCCTCACATCATCCCTCCCTCTTAATTAACACATGAGCACTAATTGGATTATTCCACATGTTTATCACTGTCACCTCAGGCAAGGGGGACAGTCTCAGAACTCAGACTTTATTCACTTCAGTCTTGAGGGTAGTCTCAAAACTCAGTTTTTATGCAGGGCTATAATGGAAACAGTCTCAGAATTTAGACATTAATTATTCTCCTAAGGCTAGGGGGGGGGGTGCATCTGGAGTTGCCTGGGGATAGTGTCGAAACTCAGCCATTATTCATTTATCGTTATGCTGGTGATGTATCAAAACACAAACTTTATTCTCATATCCAGGTACGGTCAAGAACTTCAGTACCATGGACAGGCATGTCACAATGTTGCCCTGCAATGGCGCATATGTTCTCCCAGAACTGTCTCAAACTCTCTGCATTTACCGGGACATTAGCCATCGCCTCCACGCCCGCAGGTGAGCAATATTTGCACCTATCGGATCCCACGGGCCCAAACGGCCCCCCATTATCGGAAAACCATCGGAAACTGCGGCCCTATTAGTCCCCGTCAGCTGTTCTTCCTGAGGCCCTATCGACTGGAACGCTGACCCTCTTCTGTCAGATGATATACCCCATCCTCCCTTGTCAATTATGCCAGTAACAAAACTGGCCCGCATATTGCCCAACACAAACCAAATACCAAACTGTCCTGCATACTGGCCTGTATAAACCAAGTTAGAAATATCAAGCTGCTCTACACAAACTAAAAACACCAAACTGGCCCTGAATACCAACCCACAAAAACCAGCCTAGCACAACACCAAACTGGCCCATGTACCAGCCAACATAAACCAGCCCAGCAACACCAAACTGGGCTGCATTAACCAGCCCACATAACACCAGGCTAGAAACACTACACTGGCACTCATACTGCCTAAACCAGCCTAGAAACAATATCAGACAAAAAATGGACCACAATCATCACCTACAGGCGCACATAACTTGATTCAGCACCAGTATCATTCAGAAATGGGAGCCAAAATGGCCAGCAAGAAACAGTTCGGGAACAATATCATCACTTGGAAACGGAGACAACAAATCTCCCCACCCTGCACCACTCGTCATTCCAAATTCCATTAACTTTCCGGTTCGGCTCATGAATTTTCCGTGGCTGATTTGAACCGTTCAACCACAGCTGATGACAGCCCTTCTTTCCCTCCAACTCGTTGTTCCAGGTTTGCTCGCATGTAGAGAAATCATATTTCTGAGACGTTCCAATGAAACTAATTCCGTCTTTATCTTCCATGACCAGAAGAAGCCACAAACCATACAATGCTCTCGGGACAACTAACCCGATGGGGAAAAAGGAACAGATCAATTTCTAACCCCTAAAATGGACAGTTTTATCACTAGGACTGATCCGGCCTGAATTTATCACACGGGTCGATCCTCACACCATCGAAAATCAAATAAAATGACTCGATACGCCAATATTCTGGAAATCACCTTTCCACATGACTGGTGGGACAGCTCGGTTACTTGCTGTCCAAATAGATCATTATCCGAGGACTATATTTCAGCAGAGATCTGGAGAGAAATGGCTGTGTTTAAAGAGGACAACTCCTAGAGGAGGGGATAATGATGTCTGACTCAAGGACAGAGTAAAACTGAACAGGACTGAATCAGGCCATCCTGTAGTTCAATTGATCTGCCTGTCTCTACCATTCTCAAAAATTATCTCCGAGCTCAAATTAAGTTGACCCAAAAATTTAAGGCATGAGTAAAACATCAGCAAGTACACTTTTCAAAAACCTTATTGTGAACCTCACCCTATCTGATGACTGAAACTGTTATATATGCAGCCAGAATATAATGGAAAGAAGTGTACATGTAAGAATCAGACCTGTCTCTAGTGACCACTCAAGGGACTCGCAGAAAATGGTCACAGTAGACATGTGGTCGGTATATAGAGGATTCTCAATGCCTGGGTCAATGGGGAAAAATGATCTACATCTGTATCAAAAAGGAATGGCCTGGTTTGATTGTATATCAAATTTCCATGATTCAATGCCTTTAGAGTAGCTGAAAGAAAGTTGAAAATCCAAAGAACTGAAAGTTGGACATCAGCCAGTTTCCCAAGTCACTGCCCTAATAAAGGAGACACAGACTTTAATAGATCTTAATAAAAGTGGAACATGTCCTTCAAAATCCAATGACTTGAGTCAGAAAAGGGGCAATTAACAGTAAAAAAAAGGTAAAAAAAACTTTGAAAAGCAATTAAGTGCACATCATACAATACGATTTAGAGAGTCTACTACAGGCTATTGATGCCTTACATTCAGAAGTCTGAGAAGAGCACCAATCAGTTTTTATAACAAATGATCCTATTAAAATTATCAAGTGTTATACCTGAAGAAAAATATTGGCAGCTATGTTGTGGACAAGTGATGCTTTCTCACGTCTTTTTCAACACAATCAGCAGCAAGCAGTGACCGAAACTTCATTAATTTTCATACCAATCCCGGAGGTAGAGTTTTTCTTTTTCTGCAGCCTCCAGTGAAAATGACTTCCTGTGCCACCTTGGTGGAATAACGTCTGGAATAACGTATTAAGGGCTGAAGTTTCATCCCATTGATTTCCTTTAATTGTGTGGGCTGAGAGAAATTGTATCAGGTATTGTCTCCTTAACTCGTAAACACTTCAAGTCACAAGTCTCATTGCACCAGCTGTCTTCCTTTCACACCTGACCTTGGGACTTCGGAACAGAACAATCATTGTTCTCTGTTTCTCTTGTTCCGGTGAAAAGGCCCCCTGCAGGGTGATTGGAATGGAATAGGTTCTGGATTGGTCTGATGTTGTACCATAGGACTGTAAATACTGCCTGCATATGCGGGTTAGTGCAGGTAAAATTGGAGCTGTGTCGAACAATCTTAAAATGTTGCTTTTTATTGCATGGATTTGAAGTAAAGTGAAAGAAAAAAGAGTGGCCATGCAGATAGAATGTCTGGTGCAGACATCACCTGCGCCTGTACAGGTATGCAGAAAGAAGTACCTTGACTCTTTTCAAGCCCTGTAACATTAGTCTGACGGATGTGTCAGCTTTGCACAAAGCGGAGCATTAGTAACGAAGCACTTCTACATGT